GAGGAGGAGGAGGAGGAGGAGGAGTAGGATGAGGAGGGGGAGAGTGGGGTGGCGGGAGAGGAGGAGGAGGAGGAGGAGGGGGAGGAGGAGGAGGAGGGGGAGGGGGAGGAGGAGGAGGAGGAGGAGGAGGAGGAGGAGGAGGAGGAGGAGGACCAGAGTGGACCCAAGCTGCACCAATGATGCTGCCATGCGCCTTTCTTTCCCGAGTCCCCGGATCCTGCAGTATCTCCATGTCGCTATGGTAGGCCCCCCCGGAAAGGCGAGCGACCCGTGGGCTTGCCATTCGGGCGAGAGGCCCGCTTTGAACATGACCGCCCTCCGCCCCTAGTTCTACGGAGTGTAAAAAAAGGATGGGGGGCACCTTTTTCAAAACGAACCGCCTTCATCCGTGCGACTGTTGCGCAAGTACAGGTTCACGACCACAGAACGAGACAAGAAGTCTCACATGAGAGCCCCGCTTGGAAACGGAGCCGCCCCTCATCCGTGGAGCTGTTCCGCCACTCTTCATTTCTGACTTCAAACATGTATGGAGAAGCACACGTGCATGACACATTTTAGAGACATGCCGCCCTCCATCCGTGTAGCTGTTTCAAGCTGCCAGGAAGAATCTGCGCGGTGAGAATGCGAGAGCCACATTCTGAAAACGATTCGTCCTGCATGTGTGAACCCACTGGTAAGGGAATCTGCGCGGCGCTACGGCGAGAACCACATGCTGAAAACGATTCGGCGTCCATCTGTACCACTGCCCATGCAGGGTTTTGAGATGGTACCTGATGTGCGGTTTTGAAAACGATTCGCCCTCCATGCGAGTACATGTTGGACATGTCCCCCTTAATGGTTAATCTAATGATAAGGACGTGCCAGGCGGCACGCCTGAGCCGCCCTACCAGAACGAGTGGTGCTGCGACGAGGAGGGATCATGTTTCATGAGGCGAAATAAAGGACGAGGACGGGGAGGAGGTTGACGAGGACGGCAGATGCGGATGAGGAGGAGGAGGAGGAGGAGGAGGAGGAGGAGGAGGAGGAGGATGGAAGGGTGTGGCGGAGAGGGGGAGGAGGAGGAGGAGAGGGAGGAGGAGGAGGAGGAGGAGGAGGAGGAGGGGAGGAGGAGGAACGAGGAGGAGGATGGAGGAGGAGGAGGAGGGGAGAGAGATGGGGGAGGAGGAGAGGAGGAGAGGAGGAGAGGAGGAGGAGGAGGAGGAGGAGGAGAAGAGGAGAGGAGGAGAGGAGGAGGACGAGGACGTAGGAGGACGAGGCGAGGAGGAAAAGAGAAGAGGAGGATGAGGAAGAGGGGAGGGAGATGGAGGATGAGGAGAAGGAGGAGGTGGATGAGGAGGAGGAGCAGGAGGCTGATGATGATGAGGATTCTGATGATGTGCTCTGATGATGCTGATGATGATGTGATGATGATGATGAATGATGATGCGGCTGCTGCTGCTGCTGATGATGATGATTGCTGATGAGATGATGATGATGATGATATGATGATGAGGCGGAGGAGAGGAATACTAACAAACAGAGGAGGAGGAGGAGTGGAGGAGGAGGAGGAGGAGGAGGAGGAGGAGAGGAGGAGGCGGAGGAGGAAGAGGAGCCGAGAACACGATGTGGTCGGGGTGGCAGTAGTAGGAGCCGATGTAGGGGCAGATCAGCATGAGCAGACGAAGAAAGATGAGCGGGGAGTAGTGGGGAGAGTGAGAGGAAGGGAGGAGGAGGATGAGGATGAGGCGAGGGGATGAGGAGAGGGAGGAGGAGAGGAAGGAGGAGGAGAAGAAGAAGAGGAGTAGGAGGAGTAGGAGGATGAGAGAGGAGGAGGAGGAGGGGGCAAGAGGAGGAGGAGGAAAGAGGAGCAGCAGGAAGAGGGTAACCAGGGGCAGCAGTAGCAGAAAGGACAATAAACATCATTCAGGAAGGGCGGAAGGAAGGATAAGGACAGTTATGAGGAGGGTGACGAGGAGGGAGGATAATGACGATGACGAAGAGGATGGGGGGATGAGGAGGACCAGGAAAAGGAAACGGCGGAGAAGGGGAAGGAAAGTGGAGGACGGTGTGAGCCGTTGGACCTCTTAGAACCCCTCGGACATCAGTAAGTTCCATCGCGCCTCCCAAGACCACCCTTTCCCCTCTCTCCTCGCTCCTCATTCCCTATTGGGAACACTCCTGGCTAGAGGATGTATTTTCATTTGCTGTGGGAGCGAATCTTCCAGCCAAGCTCCCCGAGTTTGCGTGCAGGGCGCGTTCGGCCTCGTGGAGAAAGCTCTCCCTGCGGTGAGGGCCCTGGGATACCGCCTTCTCACGCGAGACGCTGAGGAAGGCGATGCTGATTTTGGCGAGGCCACGAGGTCTCGGAGGGGGTGGCTCGAGTCGCCCCCTTGACCCTGGAACCTGGCCTCATGCCGCTCGCTCATCTCCCTTTGTCCCCCCCCCGTCCTCCCAGACGAAGAAGGAGGAAGGGGGGGCCGGACGGGGCCCTGGTAAGGCCGCCCGGCTACCGCGCAGCCTGGGACGACTGCGGCGGCGTGGGTGCTTCCGCCACGGAGCGCATGCGGTCCATCTCGGCCAGGACCCCGCTGCTGCTGCTGCGTGTGCTGCGTGCTGCTCCTCCTTGTGGTCCTCCTCCCGCCACCGCTGCCGTTCCACCTCTGTCCTCCTTCTGCTCCCTCCCTTCTTCCCTGGCTCTTTGCTCCTGACTCCTCCCTCCTGCCTCCTCGTTACCCTCCTCCTCCTCCTCCTCCTCCTCCTCCTACTCCTTTCTCAGAGGCCTTTCCCTCTCCCTCTCCCTCTCCCCTTCCCTCCCCCTCTCCCACCCCCTCTTTCGCCATCCCCCGCTCTCCCTCTCTCTTTCTCTCCGCAGCCATTTTTGTCTCAAGCCTCGGCCCGAGAGCCTTCGCGTCCAGGGCGAGGCCAGGACACGTAACCTTCCGCGCCTTTCAGCCCAGTGAGACCATAACCGTATCAATCGCACGGGGCCGATGCGTGGCACATCCCTCGAGTCAGCGCGCGCGCGCCATGGCTCCGAAAGGCCCTCGCCGTGCGCCCCCCTGCACCACGGCAGCCCAAGCCACCGGCAAAGGGCTGCCCAAGGGCTCCCTTGACGGATGGGCAGAAGTCCAACCCCGGTCGAAAGGAAGCCCGCGTCGCCGCACTCCAGAGCAGTTGTGGCGTCGGCCAAGCATTCATTGCATACAACGAACTTGCTCACGCGCATCAAGCCGACTTCGATACCATTTACCAGCAATGCAGGTCCGACCAACGTAGGCACAGGGGCGAGCTAATGATATTGTGCGGGGAACACGAAAACCAGCCACACCATGCTGCGTCTCTCCGGGCAAGGCCCCACTCATCAGCCTGGATGCGCAGCATTGGGACGTTCTTCTGACCACGGCGCCCGAGAGAAAGAGGGCGACGGGACGTCGTGCACCAGTAGCATCTCGTTACACATGCTAGAGAGAAACGACCGCCTGCTACATCGTATCCGGATACCAGATATGCTTTTAGCGCTCGCAGTCCTGGGACCTATCAGTTGCTACTGCCCAGGAAAGAGGGACGCCCCCCCTGGCCCCCTCTCCCCCTCCCCCCTCCACCTCTCTCCCTTCCGCTTCCCCCTCCTCCTCCCCGTCCCCCCCCCCCCCCTCCCGTCAGGGTAAGATCTAGACAACGGGCTCTTCTGGGAATCCCCTTCGGGGGGGACAATTTCACAACAAGAAAAACAACCCAAACGAAGATGCGCCATCCATCCACCGTGAGAGTGAGAAAGAGAGAGAGAGAGAGAAAACAAGAGAAAGAGAGAAAGAGAAAGAGAGAGAGAGAGAGAGAGAGAGAAAAAGAGAGAAAGAAACTGCCTCAAAAGGAATCACTCTGTAAGGTCGCCATCAAAAGGAATCTCTTCGTAAGGCAGCCACGAAGGAATCAATCTGCAAGCCGCCGCCCCTCCTAATCGATTTCTATTGTCTCATATTGGGGGAGGAGGGGGGCAGGGGAGAGGGGAGGGGATCTGCCAGAGGAGGTCTACCAGTTTTTTGTTCAAATTTCGTGTATATATATATATATATATACGGGTTCCCCCCCAAGGACCCTGCACACTTTTCTTACATATCATCTTGGGCGGGTGTAAGCTTGAATGGGTTTCGTCGGCGGCCCTTGTGTGTGACTTCCGTGAGCACTGCTTCCAGACAGCAGGGCGGTTGTCTGGAACCGACCTCTCATTGATATGATATTGTGAAACACTGTAAAATGATTTTTTCCGGTTTTTCCAATTCTCTGGGTACGAACCCTCGCTGATGCGGCAGATGGGAATGTTCCAATTCTCGAACCCTCGTTGGTGCGACAAAAAGAAAAACACAGTGAAATCCAATTTTTCAAATTTTTTCCAATTCTCAGGCGCCGAACCTCGCTGGTGCGGCGGAGGAAAACATTGCAAAATCCAATTTTTCCAAACTTTCCAATTCTGTGGCGCTGAACCGCTTGCAACATCGATGAGGATTCAGTCTGAGAGAATTGGAAATTGGAACAATTGGATTTCACAGTGTTTTCTTTCTGCCGCACCTGCGAGGGTTCGGCGCCGACCGACCTCTCATTGATATGACATTGCGAAAACACGGTAAAATCCAATATTTCCGATTTTTCCAATTCTCTGGGTACGAACCCTCGCTGATGCGGCAGATGGGTATGTTCCAATTCTCGAACCCTCGTTGGTGCGGCAAACAGAAAACACTGTGAAACATTTTTTTTTCTAATTTTTCCAATTCTCAGGCGCTGAACCTCGCTGGTGCGGCGGAGGAAAACATTGCAAAAACCAATTTTTCCAAACTTTCCAATTCTGTGGCGCTGAACCGCTTGCAACATCGATGAGGATTCTGTCTGAGAGAATTAAAAAAAACGGGAAAAATTGGATTTCACTGTGTTTTCTTTCTGCCGTACCTGCGAGGGTTCGGCGCCGTACTACTACTACTACTACTACTACTACTACTACTACTACTACTACTACTACTACTACTACTACTGCTACTACTACTACTACTACTACTACTGCTGCTGCTGCTGCTGCTACTACTACTACTACTACTACTACTACTACTCCTCTTAGTCCTCCTCCTCCTCCTCTTCCTCCTCCTCCCAAAGGTGTCGGTTCTGGATTGGCCAATCCGCTGTAAAATCCAATTTTTTCAATTTTCCAATTCTCAGGCGCCGAACCCTCGCAGGTACGGCAGAAAGAAAGCACTGTGAAATCCGATTTTGTTTAATTTTTCCAGTTCTCTCAGACTGAATCCTCATCGATGTTGCAAGCGGTTCAGCGCCACAGAATTGGAACGTTTGGAAAATTGGATTTTGCAATGTTTTCCTCCGCCGCACCAGCGAGGTTCGGCGCCTGAGAATTGAAAAAAATGGAAAATTGGATTTTACAGCGTTTTCTCTTTGCCGCACCAACGAGGGTTCGATAATTGGAACATTCCCATCTGCCGCATCAGCGAGGGTTCGTACCCAGAGAATTGGAAAAATGGGAAAGTTTGATTTTACAGTGTTTTCACCATGTCATATCAATGAGAGGTCGGTTCCAGACAACCGCGCTACGCTCCGCCTGTAGACCATTGCACAGGGTGGCGGGATCGATCCACGGGCTTCCACAGCAACGACATTGAGAGTGAGAGCTCTCGCATGAAGATGTGGTTGCGGGCTCGCTATAGCAAGATGCCCGTGCTCAACGCAGTGGCCAGCGATGCAGTTGGCGCTGCAGATCAGCACGGTGCACCTTGTGCGGAAGAGCAGCTGATGCCACTGCCCGACTTTGCTGAGTATGCCCACTATGTCAACTCAGGAAGTTCGATGGCAGTGGCGATGAAAGCGCTTGCCGATGCCCACTGCGGATCGTATGTGCCGTTTCGTTTCAACTGACGCTCCCATCGTGTATCGCGCGGGCACCCTTGTGCAGTGCGAGTGCTAGCGCGACGTGAGTTCTACCTTGCCCGTGCCCGCGACGAGTCGCACGCGCCGTTTCGCTTCCGATTGTTTTCAATGATGCGGCATGCAAGTTCCCATAGTACAGTGTGGGCGCTAGCGCTGACTAGGTGCACGCGAAAAAATGGAACGACGAGAAACCCTGCAGGGTCCTTGGGGGGGGGGGGGGGGTACCCATATGTTATATATATATATATATATATATATATATATATATATATATATATATATATATATATATCTGTATATATATATTTATATATATATATATGTATATCTACATATATATATATATGCCCCTCCAAACTTTTTAAATCCATTGGGCTTGGCCCGCGTACAAGCCGGAGGGGGTCTCAAGCGAAGCCAGCTTTTCCGTGTTTTTTTCGGTTGTTTTCACAAGAAAAACACAATTTCGCTTGAGATCCCCTTCAGAACTCCAGGCGGACCGAGCCCAATGGTTTTACACAGTTTGGAGGGAGTCTCAAGCGAATCCTGGCTTTCCGATTTAAGACGTTTGAAACGATCAAAAGGTTTAACACAATGAAAACAATCAGGCATACCCCCTCTGGCATAATCCGTTTGTAAGGTCGCCACCAACGGAATCAATTTCTAAGGCCGCCGCAAAAGGAATACCTTTTGTCAGGCCGCCGCGCATGCAATCAATGTGCAAGGCGGCTACCCCCCTCCCCCCTAATCGATTCCTATTGCATTCCAAAAGACGGGGGCCGGGGAGAGGACGGGGGGGGAGGGGGTCTGCCAAAGGAGGTTTGCCAGGCCTCTCTTTTTATATTATTATGTATATGCATTTAGACGTATATTTGTATATATAACACATATATATAATCAAATCGGAAAACCAGGTTTCGCTTGAGACTCCCCCCGAACTTTTTTAATCCATCGGGCTTGGCCCGCGTGCAATTCGGAAGGGGGTCTCAAGCGAAGCCAGATTTTTCATAGTGTTCCAAGTTTCTCAAAAGAAAAGCACAATGTCGCTTGAGACTCCATCAGAAGTCCAGGCGGAGCAAACCCAATGGATTTAAGCAGTTTGGAGGGCGTCTCGAGCGAAACCTGGCTTTCCGATTTAAGACATTTGAAAAGCTAAAATATGTAACACATAAAAAACAATCAGGCATGCCCCCTCTGGCATAATCCGTTTGTAAGGTCGCCACCAACGGAATCAATTTCTAGGGCCGCCGCAAAAGGAATCCCTTTGTAAGGCCGCCACACATGGAATCAACATGCAAGGCCGCGACCGCCCCCCCACCCCCTCCCTGGCAGATCCCTCACACGTTTCGTGGCCCTATAGGAACCCCGCCGAAGGTCTCAGTGGCTGAGCTCGCATACGTCCACGCCGTTCATTACATCACACCCTTCACACGTTCCGTGTCCCCATCGGAGCTCCGCGGGATGTCCCAGTGACACAGTTTGCATGCGTCCCCGCCATTCATTTCTGCACATCCATCGCATGTTTCGTGGCCCCACAGCTCCGCCGAAGGTCCCGGTGGCGCATTTCGCATGCGCCCCCACCATTCATTCCGGCACGCCCTTCACACGATTCATGGCCCCATAGGAGCTCCGCCGAAGGTCCCAGTGGCTGAGTTCGCACGC